AAGTGTCTCAACTGTTCACCCACGATACGACCCAGGAGCACGTAGAAGCCTATTTGGCTTCTGTGTACATTATACTTGGAATACTCAATCAACCTCGCTACGGCAGGCAAGAGCGCCTGTGGCCTTCAGACCCGTATTATACTATTATACGAGTATGTAGCGTATTTCACAATAGTCAGGGGATCCTCGAGAGTTCATTCAGTCCTTCTGATAGCAAGAGGCCATCCACTAGCAATCATATGAAACAAGATCTCAAAACCGCCAAGGTAGAACTAAGTGCCATCTCCATACCCTCCTTCTTTACGAGATGCCACTCGTCACTTCGCAGCAGCAGCAACACCCACTGGATCCAGTACCGCAATGCTCATTCACTCAGCAGACCAAGTCGGCGGCTGCACCACAGACACTTCTTCGCCATCCCACTGCGGACCGCCAGGAAAGACGTAATCCTCGTCGGGCGCCCCCATGCCCGTATACATGCCCACGCCCGTCTTCATCCCTGCATTCGTGAAACCAACCACACAGTTAGCGAGAGACCTTGATCTTGACCTGACAAAGACGAACCCAACCACAAGGAAAGGAAAGACAAAAAAAATCATCGAGACTTACCTGGACACTCGGTACAGAAGACCTCGGGGATCTTCACGCCGCCCTCCGAGGGCAGCTCCCCCACGACATCGCTCTCGACCCGGATCTGCACACAGCTGGGATACAGCTGCGTGTAACCGCCCCTAGGCGGCACCACGTCCCTGTAGTATGCCCAAATCTGGTCGATCCGCAGGAGGTATTCTCCCGCGGGGGTTTGGGCGGGTAGATTGAAGGTGATCTGTGTATTATTTATTTATTAGTAAAAGGGGGATACGAAGGGAATAAGAATGGAGATGATGTATTAGATATTTAACTTACCCGGCCCGGGATCCCCGTCTTGTTATGCGCGAGCCAGACCGTCCGATCCGGACCGCCGTCGAACTCGTAGCCCAGCGTGTAGATCTTCAGCCACGCCCCGTCGCCCTCGTACTCGCGGACGCCGACGCCGAGGCCGTCGGGTACCCGCGAGAGGTGGGCCAGGACGGGACCGGGGTGCGGGAACTCCATGAACGGCTGATTAACCGTCATTATCGTCAGTCAGTCAGTCAGACTTATTATATTGCCCCCCCCCCCCCCCCCCCCCCCCCCCCTCTTTCATTTTTCTGAATGAGACTCTAGCCTCGAACTGAAACTGAAGAAATGGGGAAAAAGGGGGGGAAAAACAAGTGTTCCCACTCACCGAAGAAGACAGCGTAGACCCGGGCGCACAGCTGCCCCGGCCCTCGGGGCAGCCGTACCACTGCTCGTCCCGCCACTCGGCGGGCGCGAACTTGGTGTGCGCGAACTCGAGCGCGTCGCCGGCGCGGACGGTCAGGACCTCGGTCGCGGCGGCGTGGGCCAGGCTGTCGCGGCCGCAGCGCACCGACGTCGGCAGGTGCTGCGGGAAGGTCGGGTTGTTATAGAACGTGTAGTGGGCCTCGTCCTGCGTGGCGGGCTCCGCGAACGGGTCGGTCTTGTTCCTGATGGGCGGCGACGGGGGGGCAGGGTTAGTTTAGGAGTGTCATGGGAATGAATGAGGGGAGAAATGGGTTGAAACCAAGAAGAACCTGGGAGGAATGGATGGGGCGATAAATTGGGCTGATGGGATGGGATGGGAGATGCGAGTGCGTGAGTGAGTGAGTTACCGGAAATATCGGCCTGGCTCTTGCCACTCCCCGTTGACGGAGATGCGTGCAAACGTGACTGATTACGGTGTTAGCGGGCATGGGAACTCTTGCTCGGCGGTGAGGCAGGAGAGATTAGTGATGCACATACAGTGGCCCTGGACCATGGGCAAGAGCGCCGTGGCGGCGAGGGTGGCGATCGTGTACGACAGAGCCATGACTTCTCCTCCTTGGGTGTTTACAGCAACCTCAGTAATTCGTTACTGGGTAAATGAGATCCGACGAGCAGTCCATTCCCCAGCTTATGTACTGTATGTGAATAAATACGTCGGTCATCTGATCAATATGCACTTCTCTAATCAGTACGATCCACGGTTATTGCACCGTCTGAGTATTGCTCCCTCCCGAGCTTGATGGACGAATCGGAGGTTCTGCTTCGCACGCAGGTGCGGCTTGTATCTTTTAGCCTCAAATGGTAGAGATTGGAGATGGCGCATAGATCCGACGGCACTGTAGGGTTGCAATGGCGCGTCTTGCATGATGATTGGAGGAAGTTGGGGGTTGAAGCACGATGGTATTATCAGCAATTTAAGACTTCAAGTAAGAGTCGAAGTGTCTGGGACAGATAAAAGTCAATTGGTTGAAGAACCAATTATTTGTTGACCCCTCGAATAACAAGGGATACCATGAATCTCTTGAACGATCGATTAGGCTTGCAGCCTACGTCTAAATTATGCGCCCTGGGTATTGTGGTCGACACGAAGACCTATCTATTCACCACCTCGCTCAGCTTATCCCTGAATGCATCGCACGCACATGTCCTCCTGCGGATCCAGCACCGAGTATGAATGAATCAGTCGTAATCGAAAGCGCTATGCTTCGGCGCCGGCTGGAACGATTCTCTTCTCTGCTGCTTGTCCATCCGCTTGGACACGGCGCCCAACACGGCCTTAACCATATCATCGGGGCTTAAGCTACCGGGCCATCCGCTCCAAGCCATGGTGTCGACCATGTCGCGCGTGCCCGCCTTCTTGTGCAGCTCGTCATCGGCATGCTCGAACTTCTTCTTGGCCTCCTCGTCGTCCCCGATCTGGAACAGCTGCACGCCCAACTGATGCTCCGGCGCCCGGATGGAGTCGAGCTGCTTCGCGATATCAGCCAGCACGGCGTGGTAGTCATCATCGGTGACGCCTGCGGTGATGACGATGACATTGAGCGGGGCGCGTTTGGGGTCCTGCTTGACCTGGTCGATGTACCAGGACAGGATCTTGTTCAGCCGGTAGCCCAGCTTGCAGCCGCCGCCGGGCTTAACCGAGTTGAAGATACCAGCGGCGTTGTCCTTCTTGCTCGAGCCCTCGCCGTGCAGCTTGCCGATGTGGTTGTAGCCCGATTTGGGCACGCCCGAGATGCCGGGGAAGTAGAAGGTGGGCCGGTGGTTGACGAAGTACATGTCGATGCCGTCTTCGTCATACCGGAGACATACCGGAGCAATGGCCTGCATCAGCTGTGAAACGTCGAGCCATTGACGCTTCATGTGCGTGGAGTCGTCAATGAGGAATAGCGTGTCGAAGTAGCGAAGGAAGTGTAGCGACTCGTCGCCGTGGGAGGGGGCACCAATGGTCCCTGCATGGGGCTGTGAAGCTACGGTGTTGGCGATGGCAACCGTAGCCGCATTGGGGTGTGAAGGAGCAGCCATTGTGTTGATTTGGTGATTACTTAAGTAGGTACTCTGCGAGGGAGCCTGCGGAAGAGGCTGCATTCAGGAGGTACAAGATATTATCCAGGAAGTGCTGCAGGATGTGCTGCAGGAGGTAGTCTAGCTTCTTGCGGGGTCGCAAATTAACTGCTGGCTGGCTGGCCGTTGAAGTGGGGTAAACGTCCGCATGCAGCCAGCCACCTGCAAGCGTCAGGGGTTCAGGGGAGAACCAGCCTGCCAGCACCAATTCGGAGTTAGGTTTGACCCGGTTCGGTCCGATGAGCTTTCGGAGACATCCGGACTTAAGCAACATGACGGAGAAGAGAGGAGAGAGAGATAAACCACAGCGAGATATTTATTAAATCGTCTTAAGGCCGCTATCGATCTTGAAGGTAAGGGAACCATCCAAGCTCATCAGTATGAACATCATCCTTCTTTTTGCGAAAAGGGCGAAAAATCCCACGATAATGGTAGGCCGTGTCGTTGAGCGGTCTGCTCCCAATTGCTCTCCTCTCGCTCCATGCGAAATCAGATGAGTACTTGTAACCTCTGTCTCCTATAGTTGGTAACATGGTATTTTAACCGAATAGCGATCATAGCTATCAAGACCACCACGACAGCGACTGCAAAGGATACCCCTATTATAGTTGCTGTTCCCATATTGTTAATGATTGACAGATACCCAAGGAGACTCTTCCTGGTAATCATGGTATAGCAGAGGTATGGACAAGATTGTCTTTTCGAAATGTAGTGGGAAAGATTTAAAATACGGCCTTGGGACTTTATATAGATAATAATACAAAGGGTCTTTAGCTGGACTTGGTTATTTCTCATGCGTGAAGCATGACAGGTTTATGCCGTTAGTCACCTATAGTCACGTCTGATCCAGCAATTTCCATGTGGGATATTATATGACTGAATTGGCGCGTGGGCTTATCCATGGTCACTCCTTTCACCATGATCTATTCGAACGTGGTACATGGTCAATGTCTTGTCGTATCTCTTGAGTGGCGTAGCACGGCAATTGTAGTGTGTAATTCTACTTAGATGAATATCTGCGAAAGTAGACTCATGAATACGCTGAAGCCACTTCTAGGTTTTTTTATATTCCAGGACAGGACTATAAATTTTGGCTAGGAACACGGATGCTGGTTGAAATAAAGTGGCATGCCCCTTACTGGAACCCCTTTTGATCACAGGTACCTGGCCACTACTCAATATTCATTACTATCTGTCTAGAGATCTATACTCCATATTGCTGTCTTCTTACAGGGGTTCATTGTCCATACCTACCAAAGAACCTAATAACCGATAAGAGAAATGCCGCGCAGCAGAGAGTTAAATCGTATCTATTTTCATCTTGCCACGAAGATCGTGTTTGTAAAAGGCAATTTAATGCTGCCGAAGTCGCGCAACAGCACCATCGTTGCTGTCGCCAACTCGTAGTAGCATTTCATACGACACACTCTCGCACAAACATCAACAATACCAAAAATACCAAATCGGAAGCGCCATGTTCCACAAATGACGAGCGAAAATGAAATCAGAACTGAGATATATTCAAGAAATAAAAGTGAAGGGAAACGGAAGCAAAAAGGAAAACGAAAAGACTATGGACGAATTGGGATTTGAACCCAAGACCTTTTGTATGCTAGACAGTGCGAAACAGTGCGAAACAAACGCGCTACCTCTGCGCCATACGCCCTTATCGTTTTAAACAGGCCCTCAATTACTCTTTATATCTGTCGCGAGAGCCTATGGAAGCCTACGAGCCAGTGGGAGCCAGTGGGAGCCAATGGGAGAGCCAATGGGAGCCAATGGGAGCCACAGCAAGAGCCAATAAGAGCCCACAGAGCGGAAAGGGTTTGCTTATCTTCAGAGCTAGTTTGTTATGTTATCTAGATACCTTCAAAGAATTTCTTATCCCTGTCCTCATAGCTGACTACTGCGCCAGAGAAACGCGGACGCCTCTGTTGACTTCCACACATCGTTTGAAATAACTCCTGTCTCGTGTGAGCAAGAACAGCACTTTCTTTTTTTACTCGGACTGATGGCTGCCTGCTGATAGTCACCTAAAACTTGTGCTCCCCAACGGATCAATGTGGAAAGGCTGCTACAAAATGGTGGCGGGTGGATGGATCCCTTTCCACGGGACCACCGGTAGCTTCGAATTCTCGGCCTAGGTGATGCCCTCTCTAGTAGTCTAAATGCGAATTTCGCTCGTCTTCGATCCCCAGGTACATATGCATTTCTCGCTTGTAATTAAACTAAAGGGCTGACAGACTGTCGTCGCGAAACCAAAAATACACATCCAACCACAGGCCGGCGGAGATAGCAAGGGAAACACGGGCGGAGGATCACGCGCGCGTAAGGGGGGCGCAGCTGGAGCGGCCGCTCCCGTGGGTCCGGCCGGAATACGAAATCCTTGGGACATGCTTAGATCCATAAAGCCCGTCCGTCGTATTCGATTGATGCTGACATATGTCTCTTACTCGTCGTCTCTGAAAAGAACCGAAAAAATCATAAATAAGTAAGATCCCTTCGGGTAGCAAGTCAGCAGAACATATTTCGACGGAAGAAAGACGCACACATACATACATACACACACGCAAGAAGAAAAAAGAAAAAAGAAGAAAAAGAAAAGAAAAGAGGCGTTCAGAAGATGGCCGAATCAAGCACACAACAAGCAGCCGCCGGGCGGGTGAAGTTCACCGTCACCCACTATCGCCAATCCCAACACACCCATGAGGCCTTCATCAAGTGGATCGTGGAAGACCACCTGCCGGCCGCCATCCCCATCTTCAAGAAACACGGTGTTCTGGGTTACACGCTCGTAAGTTTTTTTTTTCTCTTCTTCTTCAATCCCCTCCTCTCCCCTCCCCTACCCTCATCTCGCCCCCTTTCCCCCCTTTCCCCCTTTTGCGTTTTCCCAGAAATGAGCCCCCATAATCATTTCGCCCCCCCCCCCCCCCCCCCCCTCTACCCTCCAAACCCCTTCCATGTAAAAAAAAAAGAGAAACCATTTCCTACGAACTGAGGATGTATTTGTTTTTATTAATTAGAGGATAAATAGTTCGTCACCCCGCAAGCCATGAACGACCCCCTCAAGCAGTCCCTGCAGGCGACCCGCCCCACCTGGGACGTCGCCGACTACGACTGCGTCATCGAGTACACGCTGCCGGGGCCCGGGACCGTCGGGGCCATCATGTCGGACCCGGAGTGGATCGAGATCGTGAGCGACCAGGAGAAGTGGGTCGACGTGCCCAAGGCGCTGGTCTCTCTGGGCGTCGCCACGGCTTATCTGTGAAAGATGAGGTGAGGTGTGGTTGGGGGAGAGGGGGGTGGGGGGCCGTCGACTGTCAGGGGTTTTTTGATTCCCCTGATTTGTTGCTATGATGGCGGCTTTGGAATGACAAGCTCTATATTCTGTTTTCGTAGGAAAGCGAGTTGGGACGGGACTCGCTCAAAGAAGCTCGTAGTAGGGAGAAAGGGGTCATTGAATATTTTCATGGGGGCAGAAAGCGTGTTATTTACCTGAATATTGACCACCGTTTCCCAGCCTGCCGTACATGGTTTTGAAGCAGCTTCCGAGCATCCTCAAGTCTTTTTTTTCATTTCCAAACAGAACAACCAAGCCAGACCCGGCTTCCATGAACTTCCCAGTGCACCGCCATACTGTAAGTAGTTTGACCGCGTTGTGTCTTAGTCCGGCTCATCGACGGCAATCTCACATCTCTGGCAGTCATGGAGCGCGAAAGCTCCTAAGAGCACTCTAGATCTGGATCCACGGTAAATGAGGTGTAGGTTAGGTCTTTTTATCAGAGGTACCTTCTCCCAATAGTGCCCCGTACTGACTTGCTTGAGTTTTGAAGACAAGGGAGCCTCTCGGCATTCTCGACATGCGATCAGAGTCATAGATACCTCCTAGGTGGCCCTCGAGCGCCGTCCTTCGCCGCGCCGTTCGCTTAAGATATCCGAATGCCTGTCTGGCGAGAGTGATGCCTGTTGCAAAGGTCTTCAATCTGAAATGCCGCGGCAGACAAGTTCGCCAGAGACACTGGATCTGACGGCTTTCCCCGAGATGCCTCAATGGTCAGGCTAGTGTCAGTTGCGGTACGGTCCATAGCCTCCCAAACGCTACACATGGTTTTTAGATCTCTTTTTGGGCAAGTTCAAATATATTATTTCTGTGAGAGAATTCGTCATAACAGTCATCACATGCGAAAAAGGACCCACCATCGCAGGAGCCTGTGGTAAACTCGATCAGTCGACAAACGCCAGGGCTTGAGAACGCAATGCAGCGTCCACTTGAAAATCTCGTAAAAATAAATCCTTGCCAAAGAAATACACCAGGGGACTCCGCGCTAATCTTTTTCCTTCTGTTCTCTGGATCAACACAATAACAACAATTTTGAGTCGCATACATCATACATCTCCGGGGTAGAAATTTGAAACAGAACAGGACTCGGCCAGGCCCTTCTCGAAAAATCAGTGGGCCATCGACTCTGGAGGATTTGGGAAAAAGAAAGCCGCGGCCGCAATAGCAATGTAGACGATAATGCACAGGAAACCCTCGAGGTAATCCGATTTCTGGTCTCGCAGGACGTTGCCGACAGTAATGATAGCAAGGAGCAGCATAACGACGTCGAATATCTCGAAGCTTAAGTCCATAGGCAACTTGAGGCCCCAGGCAACAATAATGACGAGAGGCGCGTTTAACATGGCTGTCTGGATCGTGGAACCGATGCAGTGGGATAGTGCGAAGTTGATCTGGTTATCCCAGGCCTCGTCGATGGCCGTCAGATGCTCGGCTGCTTTCTCGACTAGTGGGACAAGGATCAAGCCCATGAAGGGGTCGGAGATGCCTTGTTCTTCGACGATGTAGGGGATCTCGTTGACCAGGGCGATGGCGATGAAAGTTACAAGCGCGACGGAGACAGCAAGGGCGACGATACATTCGGTCAGGGTGAGCTTGTCCTTGGCCCTGTCCTTATGGCCGTCGGCGTCTCGTCGCTCGTCGTGCTCAAAGACCGCATCGTATATACCGTGGTGTGTACGCGTCTGGAACCAGATAAAGACAGCGTAGGCCACAATCAAGAGGATAGCGACGATGCGGGAGACATTAACGGCTTTGGAGTCGGTTGCTGTCTCGTCAAGGTGGAACTCGGTAGCGCTAATAGCTTGTTGGAATATCGAGGGAATGGCCAATCCGACACCACTAAAGACGTTGTTAGTAGGGCCCAGTAGAGTGCGAGCAGCACCTAGACACATATAGATGGGATAGTACTGACGCGATGAGAAGAAGATTGGTGCCAACTTCACTGATGGCAGCATCAAATTCGGCGGTTTCGCGTCGCAGGCCTGAAGCGAAGAAGCACAATCCCAAACAGAGCAGCATAGTGGCCAAGATGGAACCCAGAATCGCGGCACGGATGACATAGTACTGGTGTTTGGTAAGAAGTACCATGAAGAGAATGATCTCAACCACTGAGCCGATGGTGGTCTCGACTAGCACACCAATCATGTGTGGCATCTTCCTGGCGAGTTCCTGGCCGGCGAATCCGATGAGGTTGGCACAGGGGACCATGGCGATGTAGGCCAAACTGAACTTGAGAACATGGTGTTCCTCGAGGCTGTAGTAGACGGCGATGGCGGCGGGTACGAAGGGCCAGAGGACGTTGACGGCTCGCGATAGCCAGCTGGTCGACCTCCAGACAATAGCTAAAAACTGTAAGGGATGCAGGCCGCGCCGGCCACTCTCTCCAGCGGTTTTGACGCGTACAGGACCACGCGGGCGGCGTTTGTTCTTTTCATTGGCCCCATCCACGTCGGGCTGAAATCGAGGTAGAGCAGGATCGCGGGAGCTGTGATGAGATGGTCGTGCAACTTTCTCGCGATCCCTCAGGACGCCATTACTGTAACCTGCCATTTTCTATCGCTCAGGTCGATCAAGTGTGTGTGCCGTGTCGCTGTTCTAAGGTTCGGCGGGGGGATCTGTTTGACTGGAGGTACAGCAAAGGAATTGACAGGACGCTCAAGACAGGACGCTCAAAAGAAACAAATCAATGAGGGAAAAAAACAAGAAAAAGGACAGAGGATGATTCAGGTTACCCAATCGGTGAATACATGAGTTTGGTGAAATCAGTCAGTACTTCGTAGTGGAGGAGGATCGAGACGGACAGACGAGACCGTCTGAGACTGGAAATTGAGGTCGGACCCGCTTGGTCTTATGAGGGAAACCCCTGGCCTGGCCAGTTCAGGGGTACAATTTGTGGGAAGGTACCTAGTTACCACCTGCAGTCTTGCATCAGAGCCAGAGTTGCCAATGCTGTCATTGCCAAGCAAAGAGATTTACTTCGCACGATGCGATTCGACAGGAAGTCTAGACCGCCACCAACACGCCTCCTCCACGCCGCCAACATGCCTAACAGACAGATAAACTCGCCTTCAACGTTGGAAAGGTTGGAAGTCGAAATCTTTTGCCCGACATTTTCGTTCGTCTTTTTGGTGGATACGTCACCCTGCAGTAAAACCCAGGGCCAGATCCACTACCATCTTCAAAACCAGAAAACGGGGGAGAGTGGATACAGACACGTTCCGATGGCCCCAACGCCGGGCCCACGCGCGGGCCTGGCTGTCAGTCAGTACCTAGCGGTATTGACAATTGCTAGTGGCGCGAGAGGCCTCTCACCTCTCACTTCCCCC